GGGCCAGAGCACCAGGGTGTGCTCCCCAATGATAGAGGGAGCCCTGAGCCTCGGGGGCCAGATCCAGGCAAGCCAAGAGCCACAGCTAGTCCCCGGGCCTAAGGTTCTCCACCCCAACCCAGGAGCTCAGTGCCCTTTTACAGCTTCCTGACCAAAGCACATCCCCTGACTATGATACCCTTGGCAGTCACCCACCCATATGGCCAGCACTCTATGCATCCAAGAATAACTAAATAAAACTCCACAATTCATATGAGCATAATGCTTGTGTTTTCATTCTCCTCAGATTTCAGCACTACCATTGATTAAAATTACAAGCAAGTCAGTCCCAAGATTATAATAAAAAAGGTTCTTGCTTATACCATTTTAAACAGAGAATGGATGAGTTGTGTATGTAATGTCAGCCCTAAGGCTATGTCTAGACTGCAAGCCTCTTTCGAAAAAGAGCGTCTAGACTGCACGCGGAACTTTCGAAAAAGCAAGCCGCTTTTTGAAAGAAAGCAGCAAGTGAGTCTGGATGCTCTCTTTCTAAAAAGCCCTGTTTGCTTTCAAGAACGCCTTTTTTTGAAAGAGCACTTTCGAAAAAAGGCATTCTTCCTCGTGCAATAAGGTTTACCGCCGTCGAAAGAAAAGCCGCGTTCTTTCGATTTAATTTTGAAAGAACGCAGCTGCAGTCTAGACGCAGGTGAAGTTTTTTCAAAAAAAGGCTACTTTTTTCGAAAAAAAACCCTGAGTCTGGACACAGCCTAAGTGAATTACCCAGCTTCTGGAGGTTAAGAGCTATCCAGTATTTGAACATATCTGTTTCAAGGCTGTGCCTGTAGAATATGCACATGCTGCACACACAAATAGTTATTTGCAATCACATTTTTGACATTTGCCTAGGCAAATACATTTGTGTTTATGTACTTGCAAATGCACACACATTATCTGGTCAACTTGGGGCTCCGTTTTTTAATGTTTCCATCTTCAATAGGCTGTTTGTGATAAAACATGAAATTTCCATATTTTTAATGAGAGTCTCATTGAACTGTTATAGTACTGAAAAGAAATCCCTCAAGGAATTTAAAAAAAAAATCACTTAATTTGCTTAGCTTTCATATTTACTGTTATACACAGTAAAATTCCTTAAGGTATTCTTAATTTTTATAGACCTAATTATAAAATCCCTAAAAATGGTTTGTACTTTAAAAACATAGGTGAGACAGGCCATAATTAACTTTAGGTTTCTGCTATCCTGGAGATACAAAAGGTTGGCTATAGGTGCAGAAACAGAGGTTTGTTTGTATAATTTTAAAGACTAGTGAGATTATCTGGTCTATTTCAAGGAATTCTTCTTTGAGTATCTGTATATGAGGATCCCACTCTTTTATGCATGCACTAGAGCAGTGTTTCCTCAAACTTTTTAAGACCGAGGAACACTAAACAATTTTTTTAAAATGAGGAACACCAAGTTTTTTTTTCTTTGCTCAACAGAGGTGGGGGAAGGGTTGGCGGGAAAGTTATTGTGCCATGGAACAGTTTGAAAAACACTGCATTAAAGAGTGGAATCTTTTCACCAACTGTGTCCACTGGGATCATATATGCATCTTTCATGCCTTTGAGTTACCCTCCTTCTGAGTGAGGAGTGACCCCAGCAGCCTCTCTGTGAGACAGAGTAACTTCAGGGTTCTTCCCACTATTGTAGTCTCTCCATTGTTACATAGTTGTTCAGTTACTTTGCTTTGTTTTTCTTAATTTTTCCAAATACAGATATTTGTTGTTCGCCCACTAGCAACATAATAAAGAGTTTCACATTTGTTACTTAGCTGCCTCAGAATCCACGGCTATCAAGCCCTAGGACAGAATGAAACTCTCCAGATTGCAAAACCTGCCCATTGTACGATAAAGCTATTTCATGAAGGAAGGACATGTAAGTGCATTTTTTGTCTCTGGTAAGGACATATCTGTGCAGAGTGTGTCATCTTGTAAGGCTTTTTCAAAACACGCCCTAATAGGAAAAATCAGTGAGGGAGTGTTGGATTCTGAAGACCTCTAAAAGAAAATCTTTTGCTTTTCCATTTAGATTTTTAAAAATCTTCTGGCTTACTAATAATAATAGTGTTATGGTGGTTTCCAGAAGGCCGAGCCAAGACTGGGACCCCATTATGCTATGCAATGTACAAACACACAGTAAGATACAGTCCCTGTTCTGAAGCATTTATAATCTCAGGGCTTGATTCCACAAGTTGCAGGGGGCTCAATTATTTTCAATTTAAAAATGTGGGCAGTCTCATTGACATCAACTGAGTGTAAAGAAAAGTCTTTCATGCAGCCTTAATGTATCATAAGCAAATGCATGAAAGCAAGTACCAGTCTGAGCCTGACTACTCTGTACTAAGGATCTGTTGTAGTGAAGTGCAGTATTAACAATTTTAAGCTAAACCAAATTTTCTGTTGGTTAACACTTTATATAAGTTTTACTGTGAAACTGAAGTATTCTTTTATACTATAAATAGCTTTTTCCAAAGCTAGCCGGTGCTTATTTTGTTTCAGTTGCTTGATATTTATGCATGACAATTTTCTTCCAAATATGTACCAGACATTTAAATGTGACATTAGCATAATCATAGGTTCCGCCACAATACTAATTTGGTGGTCTCAGATATAGCACTCATTAGCAAGTTTACAGATTACAAACACTGAACCTCTTCACTGGTTGCATGCACTATGTGCCACCTTTACAAAATCTCTCTCCTCCCCCCCCCATAAACTGTGCCACCTTTACAAAATCTCTCCCCTCCCCCCCCATAAACTAATATTACAGTTGTTTTAGAAAAAAATTGATAAGAATAAATACATTTTTAAAAATCTTTGCAACACAGGAAGTACTTCAATATGCATGATTACTACCTTATGCAATGCACTTCTTATTATCTTACACAGTGAGAGAGGTAATTTCTGTATTGCAGCTGTTTTGATGGTACAATGAGAAAGAGCAACACCTTAATACGGTGTCAAGAATCTTTTAGAAAGTCTTTCCAAACAAAACATGTAACTGAATTGACAGTGCATTAAAATACAAGAAAAAAACTTGGATTTGGTAAATCAATTTAAGTGTCATCAATCCCCTAACTACATGCTCCTAATTTAAGGTTCAATAGGACAAACACTCCAAGCACAGAACTCTCGTAACAGTGACACTCTCAGAGGTAAAGGCATCAGGGAGAGGCTGGCTCAAATTTCTGCCCACATAAAGTAACACAGCTCTGTTGATTTTATCTCCTGTGACAAACAGAAATAATGATACTATTCAGCTGCGTATTTTATACTGTAATAGCTTTAGAGCTTGTGTACTAACCCTGTAAAGCTTGATACAATTTTCATTTCTTTTAATTAGTGCTGGAGGGTCCAGATTGTCAACTCTATCCTTTATCCAAAAAACAGAGGCAATGTGGGCAATGGCTGTAAATGTCTCCACGGGTGGCTTTAAATTTAATACTATCCTTTGTCATGTATGAATCAGTGAAAGAGTCCATAAACCATTTCCCGGTTCTTTGTTGCTTTTCATTAACTCTCATTGTTACTTTGACTTTAATGCATGAAAGTCATCAAATCTGACCTTCTGTATATCACAGGTTCCCAATACTACCCAGCATCGGCACACTAACTCAAATAACGGCTATTAGACCAAAATAGTGGAGTCCACAGAAATCTAGACTACTGTGTGTCACAGGCAGAGAACAGGAGGGAGCAAGGTGCATCTGTGCTCAAGGCCCCTGCAATGGCAGGGAAATGATTAAGTGAGATATACTCCGATACTCCTGGTAAGTGACTGGCACCCACATGTTGCAAAGGAAGGTGAGTTAGCCAGGCAAACATCTCAGTGACAGAATGCTCAGTGCTACCTCACCACCTTGGCCCACATTGTTCAATGTACCATCTCAGCTGCATTTGATGCTGCAGAGAAACAAGATAAAGAAAATTCTCTCACAATACCAGATTTTCTTTGTTGTGCTTTTTTTCTCCATATTCTACCAGCATCTACAAGTTTTGTTCAACTGGGAAACTAAAAAGTAATATTAAATATTTTAGCAGATTGCATAACTTTCCTATGCAATAAAGTGTCCAGCCAATACTGTAATGTTTCCCAAAGTGCATGGGATGCCAAGATATGGCCCGGGGGCTGGATCTGGCCCGCCAAGCCCTCCAATCCAGCCCACAGCCTATCCCACTGGACCTACAAGCAGGGAGTAGTCCCAGGGCTCAGAGCAGCTGACCACCCCATTTGCCCCTCAGCACCAAGGATAGGAAAGGGGGAAGCTTCATGCACTGCAAACCCCCTCCTTCAGCCAAACTTCCTCTCAGATCCCATACCCTCTCCTGCACCCCAGGTCCCTAACCTTAACCCCAACCTCCCTCCTCCATACAATCTCCATCCCAGACCCCCCACCATAGGAAATGCGGCCCTTGACCAATTACCAAAATTTTGGAGTAGACTCCCCCATCAAAAGTGATTGCCCACCCCTGCTCTAGAGTCCCAGAATTCATTATTTATCAATAATGGAAGTTTCTACCTTTATAAAAGCAATGCAGCAATATAAAGCAGGCTGTCTGAAATAATGCAGATAAATCTTGTTTCATTGAGCTGTCACTAACAATTTGGGCAGCAATTTCAACAGAAATTTCTTTTCCTCACAGTGAAATGAATGTTCATAGAAAACTTCCTTTTCTAGTTGGTTGTAAGCTGAAGAATAAGTACCATTGATAACATCTGCTGTACACCCACCAATTTGAACAAACACTGAAACCACACAAAAACACTCAAAATGTATGTTATTTCAAAATAGAGTACTGAATTAATTTAAAGTCAAAGATTTGTATCTGAGAAACAAATAAGTGTTCTATAACTGACTGCAATACTGCTAAGCATCCCCACAGTGAACATAAAGTAACTTGTTGGTATAATGAAAAATATTGGTTTAGATTTTACCATTGAGAAGGGAGAGAGAAAAGTTTACCTTGGCTGAGTGCTCCATGGTGACAACCACTTTGGTTCGTGCACTAGACACTAAGTCCATAGCACCGCCCATTCCTTTCACCATCTTGCCCTAAAACAAGGTTTTGAAAAGGAGAGTCAAATGCCTTGGCATATTTACTACAACAGGAGACAATTTAACACAAGAGGAACTTTTTCCTGCACAGAGATAGAGTCATCTCAGAAAGATAACGTTTGCCAGTTTTCTATGCAAAAAGCACTATATTCCATGATCACTGCCAATGACATAACTCTTGGCCCATTTCAAGAACTGACTGCACTCTCTAATGTGGGTAGACAGAAAGTCATGAATCAAAACACATGGTCGAAGTCATCTTCGGTATAACGCAATTGAAGACAAAGGAGATATATTCTTTTCTGAATTGGAGCCTAAGCACATGATTATTTTAAGTATGTGACTTGCCTCGCTGACTTCTATGGCATGTCCTTACCATTAAACACGAGTAGTCTCATTGACTGTACTGTCTGAGTCCTTTATTGAACTGGAGTCCAGATGTCCCTGAGACATTAATTAGGTTCATGTGGCATAAAAATTTTAGGCCATATTTTAAAAGCACAATGTTAATCCCTAAACTGATAGAAGCATCTTTTTCTTTCGGCAGAGGAAAATTTTGTTGGCTAAAAATTAGCAACAGGATCTGTACATGCACTGTTTGGAAAACCCTGGCTTTAGCACCATGCTAGCTCAAGCTGCTGTCTCGATTTCACACCAGAAGTTTTTGTTATGTTTTGGAAACAGGTAAATAAAATAAATAAATATGGATCAATATTGATTTCTCTTTGTTCCTCAGCCATGTAATGTCTGGCAGTTATGACAGGCATTATTTCTTTTACAGTGTGATATAAATTCTTGGCCAGAAGGGATCATTGTGATCATCTTGTCTGATTTCCTATCACATAGGCCATAATATTTTCCTCAAATAATTCCAAGAGCATATCTTTTAGAAAAACCACCAGAAATGATTGAATAATTGACAGTGAAGGAGAATCAATCACAACCCTTAGTAAATTGTTCCAATGGATGGATGCTCTCATTGTTAAAATTCAACCCTTTATTCCTAGTTTGAATTTCTCTAGCTTCAACTTCCAGCCACAGGATCATGATACAAATGACTCTGTTATACTGGAGAACTCACTATTAAATATCTGTTTACCGTGTAGGTGATTACAGAATGTATTCAGGTCAGCCCTTGCCTTCTCCTTGTGCTTCATTGAGTTTCTTGAGTCTATCACTATAAGGCAGGTTTTCTAATCCATTAATCATTCTCATGGCTTTTCTTGGAACCCTCTCCACCTTATCAACATCCTTCTTGAAGTCTGGGCACTAGAACTGGATACTGTATTCCAGCAGCAGTTGCATCAGTGCCAAAAACAGAAAGAAAATAACCTTTTTACTGCTACTGAAGTTTCCCCTGTTTATGTCTCCCAGGATCACATTAGCTCTTTTGACTGCAGCATCATGCTGGGAGCTCATGTTCAGCTGATTATCCATTATGGTCCCCTAATCTTTTTTCAGAGTCACTCCTTGCCAGAATAAAGCTCCCCATCCTCCAGTAAGAATGGCCTGTTAACAATATATTGATTACTTTTGCCCAATTAACCAAGCGATCCAGATTGCTCTGAATCAGTGACCTGTATTCTGCATTATTTACAGATCCTCCAATTTGTGTGTCATTTCATCAATGATGATTTTGTGTTTTCTTCTGGGTCATTGATAAAAATGTTAAATAGCCCAGGGAAAAGAACCCAGTGGAAACGGATCCAGTCTTATGACTCTCTTTGAAATTACACTCTGAGACCTATCAGTTAGCTAGTTTGCAATCTATTTAACGTGTTGAATTCTACTTTCCATATTGTTCTGGGTCTTTTAAAATCAAAATATTGTGCAGTATCAAGTTAAACATCTTACAAAAGTCCTAGTATGTTATGTCAACCCTTGTTACCTTTAACAATGAAACTTGAAGGATTTATTTTTCCATAAATTCATGTTGATTTGCAATAATTACTTTATCCTTATTTAGCTCTATTAGTTGTGTCCCATGTCAGCAGCTCCATTAGCTTGCCTGGGATCTATGTCTGGCTACCAAACCTATATTTACCCTTTATCCTTTCAAAAAATTGGCACACTAGCTTTCTTCCAGTCTTCTGGAACTTCCCCAGTGCTCCAAGACTTAATTGATTATCAGCATTCATGTTCCAACAAGCTCCTAAACCAGTTTTTTTAAACCTCTTCACTGCAAGTTATCTGTACCAGATGCTTTTAAAATGTCTAAGTTTAGAAGCTTCTGTTTACACTGTCCTGAGATATGAGTGGAAGAAAAGATTGCTACCATCGCTGTATTATGAGGCTATAGAATATGTCTTTCCCCCAATTACATAACTGCATGCAATGCTATACTGGATATAAAGTGCCTGTGGTGTATATTTAGCTGGTTTTCTTTTTGGAGTGCTGCAGAAATAAAATGGCTTGTCAATCTCTGCCTACAGGTGTGCTTTGCATAAAACTGTCAGGCAATTTGAGAGTAAGGGTCTAACACAGTGCTTTCTGTCACGACGATTTTATCATTGTTCTTCCTCTGATTGGCTGTTTCTTCAATTAAAAATTAGTACTCTAGACTGAAATACAGATTATTTTTGTGTATGAAAAACAAAGCAGTATTAGGCCAAGCAACCTGGAAAGAGATGTACATATGAGGAGCTTCCAAAGGGTAAAACATTTCCCAAGGTCATTCTTTCTGTTCCATTTATTTCCTTTTAATAATAATATATGGAGATATACTTATCTCACAGAGCTGGAAGGGACCTTGAGAGGTCACTGAATCCAGTCTGCTCCCCTCATGGCAGGACCAAGTACCATCCTTGACAGATTTGCCCCAGATCCCTAAATGGCCCCCTCAAAGACTGAACTCACAAAGCTGGGTTTAGCAGGCCAATGCTCAAACCACTGAGCTATCCCTTCCCCCATGTGGTGTCCCATATGTCAATAAGGCAATGTGGTGCATAGCAATGCTCCATGACATAAAGCACACCATGTATTAGATCATACAGAAAAAAGCTGACACCACTGTCAATTTGGCCGACAACACAAGTGGGAATTTCTTTATGGTAGTGAAACAAACATCCACGGGAAATGGCATAGTTCTGTTTTTGCAAGGTAAAAAACTACTATATAGGGATGTTAAGTAGCAATTAACTTGATAGTCGAGTAGTTGGTAAGCACGTCTGCGTTCAGCCTTTGAAATGTACAAGAGCCCCAAGCGGAGGGCTTTTGCGCATTTCAAAGTTGGAATGCTGCATGGAGCCCAGAGCCAGTGGGGGACTCAGAGTCCTGCGCTGACCCCAAGCTTCATGCTGCACTTTCTCTTTGAAATGCACAAGAGACCCCGCTGGGGAATCTTGTACATTTCAAAGCTGGCACAGTGCATGGAAACTGGGGACAGCTGGGAACTCCCCAGCTGATCCTGGGCTCCCCGCAGCATTCAAAGCAGCAGTGACACATGGAGAAGCTGACCCCAGGCTCCGTGCGGTGCTGCTGCTTTTAAGTACCTCCTTTTACTTTCCCTCCCTTCCTGCCTAAGAGACCCCGCTGGGGAATCTTGTACATTTCAAAGCTGGCACAGTGCATGGAAACTGGGGACAGCTGGGAACTCCCCAGCTGATCCTGGGCTCCCCGCAGCATTCAAAGCAGCAGTGACACATGGAGAAGCTGACCCCAGGCTCCGTGCGGTGCTGCTGCTTTTAAGTACCTCCTTTTACTTTCCCTCCCTTCCTGCCTC